CCAAAGTACTCCACCCACAACAACCAAAGTACTCCACCCACAACAACCAAAGTACTCCACCCACAACAACCAAAGTACTCCACCCACAACAACCAAAGTACTCCACCCACAACAACCAAAGTACTCCGCCCTCAGCAATCAAAGTAGTCCACCCACTGCCATCAAAGTACTCACAGTCAATGTTTGCAATTTTTTCTGTGCAAATTTTCAGAAGGCTCCTGAGCAGAGTTGTATAAAAACTCAACTTATGTGATTACAATGACTGAACACAAGTTGCGTCACAAAAATTAGTGACTCCTTCCAATTCTGCTCTCAAGCTTGGCTGTTGGCCAATAAAGATCTAGGAAAATGCATCAATTCAAGGAATTTGTTGTCCCCATGCGCAGGTTGGAAGGTACATTGTTTAGCTGGTGGATGTCTCCTATCCTAATAATGCTGATTTAGTATTCGCTTCTCAAACAAGTTTCTGCTTTCCATGATCAACTTTCTACTCAAACATTTACCAAAGGCAGGGATGAAGTTTTTAATTTCCATGTGGAAGAAGACTGGACCCTTTCATGTCAGTGCCCTGGCTATTACCAGCAAACAGATATTCAAACACTTAAAGGAAGTCACGTTTACAAACTCCAACCTGCCCAGATTTTTGAAATTATCAAAACTTTTGGAGATTTAGAAAACTTAACTGAAAACTTAAACACTTAATGTGTTTTTAGAGACAGACCATTGGCACTTGGTTGTTCCATTAACCTGTAACATGGGTTGAAGTTTAATTATGTGCATATTGACACGTGCCGACAGTCATTGAATTCTGCATGTGTGCGTACTTCAGGACTAGGCCAATAAGCTGACGACAAATGTCAGTGAAACAATGTCACATGTGTGGAGGACTTGTTCTTCGCTCTTTTTTTTTACTTTCTCAGTGCCTGAATATATCCTGAAAAAATCCTTGCCTGCCGTTCATGCACCTACATGCATGTATCATGCACCTACAGGCTCAGAACTTTCTCATGGTGCTAAAAGTAGTGTGGCATCAGAAATAGATGGATGGATGGATGGAACATCAGTCGATCTATTTAGCTGTTGAATGGAGTGATGTATTCTTGTGGTGTAGGTGCACTGTATGCTGGGACAAAAGCTTTGTGACACATGATCGGCAATTGTCCAGTCAGGCGCTGGGGATTTATTCAGATGTATCAAACACATCAATACTGTGCAAGGTTACTAATCTACCCAAGTCAGCATTGATGCCAACCGTTTCATGTGAATCCCTCGAGAGCTGTGAGGGTCAAATGTGTGGGTTTCGTTTGTAGGTTTTTTGGGGTGGGTCAGGCCGTGGAAAGAATCTCAGAATGTGTGTAAGAAAGAGAACTAAGATGGTGTTGTTTTAACAATTTGAAATCCTCCACGTTTTTGAAGACCCAGAGAAGTTTGGAAAAGTAATGTTTCATAGAAATATTGCTTAGCATAATACAGGGTTAAACGGAAAAGAACAAGTAGCATTAGAAAGCCTCATTGGCATTTATGCAACATGCATTTTTAATAGAGTCACTACTTTTGCTGTTTTGACTTTTATTAAGGTGTAGTCTTCAGTTGATGGATGCTTTACTGCTTCCATATATGTATGATGTGACAGAGATCTAAAGTTGAATTGCAAGGAGTCTGTCTGTTTCTGCCTTGAAGTGGCTAGTCCTCTGCAGTCATTGTCTTTCAAGTATTGGGAGTAGGCCGGCATTTTATTTTACAGAGTGGTGCTGACTTTACAAGTAATCCATCTCGGTGATTGGGAACAGCCCATGGGAATTACAGACGAATGAAGACTTATAGGCGGCTTCGCCTCTGTAAAGTTGTGGGGAATTAACCGTCTTGGGAAGGGATTTTGCTAAATGTCAGATACACGCTTTGATGTTCTTTTTGGATAGATGTATTTACTGATAAACTAGGCTAGCGGTAGCGTGGACACGACTATGTAAACTGTGGTTGTTTAAGTAGACCCAGATGAATTTTAAGCTTGCAGTAATAGTTTGGTTGAGCATGATAGCGTTTTTTAGCTGTGTTTGCCTTTTGGATGATGAGATGGTGTCTGTGGAGTTCAAACTCATGCATTAATCACTGGAAAACTCTTTGGGGGAATGCTTTGGATGACTGTCAATACAAAGTAGTTTTTGTGATCAGCCAAACTGAAGTAAAATTGCCAAGTACAAACTTCTGTTTATCTTTTATAACCATGACACACAGAGCATTGACCTCCATAAAGGGAGGGGGACTTTTGACTCTGTGAAGAGGCAAAACCTGAAGGACTTTCCACATAGTAAAAATATACAACGGGGTATTTGTGATTATATTTTTTTTTTTACTCTGAGGGTGAAAAACCATGCTTTAGGGTGATAAACTGTGGCATTTTAACCTGTGTACCAGGCTGAGAATGCCCACATATATTCTGGCCAATGAGTGGTCTCGTTAGATATGAGATAAGATGAGTAAAATTATGATAGAAAAAAAGAGATTACAGTCATAATGTAAAAATTAATAAATCCTGTACTAAAATTATTATTACATTTGATCATTACAAATTACACCTGGATAAAAACTGTTCAAGGTTCGAGTCGAATCAGCACAGATGGATCTGTAATGCTCTTCTGTTTTCATTAGCTGAAATTGGTCATTTGCAGGATGGAATTGGTCATTTGCAGGATGGATTTGGTCATTTGCAGGATGGAATTGGTCATTTGAAGGATGGAATTTGTCTGACATAATTGACGAATTTCTTGAAGACACGTGTCTCATAAGTTTATCTAACGTGGGTAGTTTTATACAACCATTAATGGTGCTGGCAGGGCAGTGTTTTCTACACAATTGAGGCAGTCCCGGTATTCCTGTACCAGCCAGCGATTGAGAATGTCAAGACACTCTCAACCACTTTTTTCAGGCGTGCAACTTTTCCTTGAATCAGCTGATTTCCTCATTTTGCACTTCATACTTATGCCATAGAAAATTGAAAAATTCTGTACATGTACAAAGTCTTGTAAAGATTGGAATTTCCTTGTTTTTTGTCAAAAGTCCAAGTTGTATGCCTGTTTAATAGTGGCCCACATGCTTCTGTGTTCCACAATACGTGCGTGGCTTACCAGACCAGTTTTTATGAATTGTCTGTACGTAACCACTGAATCCTACACAGTGTCAAGGGCACATCCAGACCCAACTTTTCAGGTGGGGCCACTTTTTTGGGGGGGAGGGGGCAGGGCAAAGCAATTTGAATTTCTTGATGTTACCTTGTACCACTGTATTGAGGGTTGAGGGTAAATGGTGTGGGCTCTTTAAATTCTTGTGGGACAAAAATGAAATACTTGTAGTTCCAATATATCACCTTTCTCTAAAAAGAGGGGAGGCACGGCCCTGTTGCCTTCCCCCCCATCCACCCTTGCACTGTGTTATCAAGTGCCTCTTCTCTTCTTGTTTCCAATCTCAGTTCTTGTTTCCACTCTTTAAAAAATGATCCTCTTTGTCTTGGTAGCATCAAAAGTTTACAAGCCATCGCAAATCTGTTGCCTTGTGACGTGATTATCTTCGTGTTAGTTTTGGTTCATTGTTACTGGAGACCAAGAACATACAGTCGCACAGCGCTACGATAGTGACAGTATGACTGGAAGTCTGGGCAATAATTTGTTCCTCACGTGCCTACTTGATGAGAGTCTCCTTTTTCCCTATACTTGTGATCTTCTTTATCATTTTTGTCATTAGAGAGAAAGGGATGTATATCATCATTAACTGCGTCATTTTTGAGAAACTCTAGGTACATGTTTATGAAACATTTCCAATATATGACTGTTTTTAGTTTGATGGCGAGAGCAACTATGCCTCCAGTGTGTCTACACTGCGGGAGATGCATATCAAGTACAAGAAGGCATTAGATGAGATCTGCTACGTGCTACAGAAACTCAAACTTGAAAATGGGTAAGCTCATCGGATGTCAAATCAGTACACACACAGCCTTTACTTGTCAATAGCAGAGCTGGGCTATCCACTTTGGTTCCTGCCTCCATAATAGGATTGATTCATAATGCAGTACTCCCGCAGTATTTGTCCCTGGTATTTATGCTACTTAGCTTTTCACGAGTTTCTGTGTCATTCTGCATGATGCTAAAAGAAAGGCTGGGGAGGGGGAGAGTTGGCCTATTTAAATTGATTTAATAATAATAATAAAAATATTTTTTTTTTTAAACATGGGATGTGACTCAACATTGACATATTTTTATGGCAAATATGTTGCAATTTTTTTACAACAGATTTATAATTTTCTCAGGTTTGGCAGATTTTGAAAGGCAAATACACTTTTCTGAGGCCTTCATGTATCTGTAGTGTATGCATACGCATAGCAAGTAATCAAGGATGGCAGATGTTTTGTTCCATTCAAATCCTTTGTTTTGATTCAAATCATATTTATTAAACTAACTTACTGCCCTGTCTGTGTAGGTACATTGCTGATGGTGAATGTAAGAGTGTGGATGATCTTACCAAAGTCAAATTCAGATGACCAACTCATGTTTATTCCACAAGGTTTCTTTGCACAGCTTGGATGTGGCGTATAGCCTTATCGTTTCATGCTAAAATGCACATAAACATGAAATCTGCTGGGTTGCATTTTATGCTGTCTGGTGATTTTTAGAGTTTCCACACAAAGATATTCCAAAGCCTTTCTGTTTCATGGTCTATGAACTCCGTGAGTAATTTGTAAAGTTACGTGTAGCTAGAGGTACCCGGTGCTGCTCCCGTATTGTGATTCAGTTCCTGACATCAACAGTCATACCGGGTAAGTGAAGGAGGTTAAAACATTATTCATGGTGCTGAGTGTATCTCGCTCTCTTTGTAGAAACATCACGGTTTCCTCATTTAAAAAAAGAAAAGGCAGATGCAGAAAAAATAAACTCCCCTGGTTTTTCCGGATTTCCATCTGTGCTCCACCATCAGGCTTTATTACCAACAAGAATCCTTCCAAATCCAAGGAGATTTTAATGCTGTTATCTGTCATTTTGTCATCTCCTCCCATTCTGTCCACAGTGTCTCCTTTGTCATCCTGTACACCTACAAAGAAGATGCCTTCAAGGTGATATACTGAAGAGATGGGGAACATGATGTCGACAACCTCTGCTGCAGGGCATGTCCGATGGCATTTCTTGTTGTGCAAGGGTCAAGGTGGACGACTTGCCGTTGGCCATTTGACTATCTTCCCAGAGATAAAATTTGAATCACATTCCCAGCTAAGTGGTCAAGAAGTACAACTGGAATCTTATTTTTGATGACAGTTATGACCAGAATCTTTTGATGACCAGCAGCTGTTGACCTCTTTTGGGAAATTCTGCTTAGAACTTTCCGGAAGTGAAGCCTCCTGAGTGACCAATGTGCAGACAAACCCGTAGTGCATTCTTTGGTCTTTTATCTTTCAAGGGGCACCGACCCTGTGCAAAGTAACAGTGACTGGGTTCTACTTTCCTCAGTCCTACAAAATCTGCCAATATTGAATTTTAAAGAACTTTTCAGATTGTCTGAGATGGGTGATAAAGAGGTAACCTGTTTTATGATATCTGATGCATTTTGAGTTGCCAACCATTGTTTGACCAATTTGATGATGGTTTGTACTATATCAGGTAAGATCTGTGGTCGAGTCATATTACGTAGACCTTGGAATTAGAAAGATGCAGAGTTTGAACTATAGTTTGGCACTGGGCACCAGCCTTGCAGAAGACACAGCTGAGGGTCTTATGTTACAAAGCTGTGACCATCTTAACTCATGGAAGGGTACAAGTCTCATTTACTGCCCATGCAACCACTGTCGGTCAACCAGACTTTAACAATTAGACCCATGACCCGAATTAAACTTTGTCATTTGAATGACTGTTGGTCTAGGCCCTGAGCTCTTGTGATGCAAAGGTAAAAACACTGTGCACATTCAGATGAAAATTTGCTACATACATGTACACATACATGTATGTAGTGTGGCTTTCTTGAGTAGGATGTACCTCAACATACACAGTTCTTGCATACATTCCATAAGCAATTGGTAGTTCACTTGCTGATTTTCATATGACAGGTCTATACACAGATCTCTGCATAGTGTCTGGACAGTGCATTGAGTTTGAGAGTTGAGTCACTCAAAGTGCCATCTTGGGAGGGCTGAAACATTCACGATGACAAGCCAATTTTTTGAGTCCCGAGATCTCAGTCACAGCTGACTGTCATATCTTGACTCTTGTAGCCCATCCCATGTGGACTCATTTTTTTCAATTATCCTTTATGCAGAAGAATTAATATAAAAACTTTCCTGTAACTTTGACTCACAAATTATCTAGTTATTGCCTGATCCTGCTTGAAAACTTTGAACTGTTGTGTGCTATGTAGTGGTAGCCATCTTCGGAGGTCCAAAATGAAAAGAAATGAGTTGCAGTGGCTTCATTTGTTCTGGTTCTGTACTGTGCAAACGCCTCCTCAGTGGTTATCATGCACAGGTGCACCCGTTATTTAATTGGCTCATGTGTTGGCCTATAAAGTGGTGGTCTATAATGTGTTCTTGTTTTCACAGCAAGCTCTCAAATGAATGTCCTGGTATACAGTATGTGGTATTTCCAGGCATGAATGCATGAACCTGTACATCATAAAGCATGACTTGTGTCCCAAGACACTGGAGATCTGTCTGGGAAGGACGCAGCTGAAGACAAAGTTGTAATCGTAGAAAGAAAGCTCTGAAAGGTGATTTCATCTGATGCTGATGAGAGAGAAGTCTTTGCCCTCATCAACTTGGCTGAGCTATAATTCAGTCAGTAGTGAGTCTAATTTCCAAATCAGGAGTTTTTTTTTTAGCAAGAAAACAGCTCAGAAGTTTCCTGGTCATCTTAGAAGCATGTGATTTGTCTGCAGACTGGATGTTGTGACTAACTTGTGAGGGACGTTTGATAATTTGCTATGACTTGATTAATGTACAACTCTTTTGTAGAAAAATCACAGTATTGATGTGTTGTCTGTAACAATGTTTGATGCAAACCTAGTTACCAAAAAATGGACTTTTGGAAATTACTTTGATCTCCAAACCAAATGAAAATGTCTTCCAACCTGCAAAAGAAAAAGATATTAAAAGAATATAAATGTCACCAAATTCAACTTTCCTCTAGAGAATTGGGTTTAGCATTGCATTGTCGAGTCTTTAGTACTGAAAAGTACTTTAGAAGTCCTTGTGAGATGAGAAAAAGCTCAAAATTAGAGTTTACTATTGACATATAAAGTGTGCATGATTTATGTTGTGGGTTCGTCGTTTGATGGACTTGGTGTTTCCTAACACTGCGTTCTGTTATTGTAATTAAGTCCATCGCAAGTTACCCAGATGATCTTAAAAGAAATCACAAGCTATTCCAATGAACTGTTACAAAAGCATTCCTCTGTTCATCTTGTTACTTGTGACTGATCTCATGAGAGGACTTGTGACTGGACTTGTGATAGACTTGATGACAATAATACTTCTAAGTTCACTCTAAGAAGTAAGTTTGTTGAAGACTAGTGGTTAATATGACCACAGCTTAATTTACTTAGGTGCGGAACACGCTCATCAATTATGGACTAATCTAGTTAAACTAGTCTGAACCACCATACCAGGCTTGTTGTTTCACTGGTTACTAATAGGTACTTGTATCGAATTGTGCAGCTGGGAGCCAGGAATGTGAGTTACTGTGACCGGTGATGATGATGGACCAGACGAAGGTTACAGCACAAACTAACCAGTCAGTCAGTGGTCCTGTTTTTTTTAACTTGTTCGGCTTGGACATCCTCCAATATCTGCCATCATCGGCTGGGAATTGTTTACACCACATGCCAGTTTTCTTGTACATGTTTATGCATGTCCGCAACAAGCATAACCTTTTGGTTGACTCTTCGGGTCCCTCAAATGAATCGTTCCCCCCTTGTGTCCGAGAAATAGCAAAAGTTTTGTGCAAAACACCTGTCACTTTCAGAAGGCTGCGTAACCAATTTTGTGTAGTTCAAGAAATTGGTTTACACTGACTTTTCTGGATGTGATGCATTATTCTATAGATTAAGCATATTTTGTTCGGTTGACATTTGTTTCTCATCTTGGCAAGAAATGGCAGCTCGTAATACCCGACCCAGGGGATTTTACTATATTAAAGCAAGTGGGACGAATTGCAAATCGGATTGCGAGTTTTTAGTCATGAGAAACGGCCCGTGAGACATCTCACAGATTTGTTGAGATTTACAAGAAAATGACCACATTTGTGTAAACGTCTGAAGTAATGTGCTGTCTTAATGCTGGGCACTTTCCAGCCCACTTTGGTTTAGAGAAATGTTGAATTTTGATCAGGCCCCTTAAGCTCTACAAAACCACTTGAAAAGTGCAGATTGAACATTGCTTTTTTTATCGGAGAGGTTTGTGTGAGTTGCTGAAATATCTTTTACATGGAGGAAAAAGTCAGCGGCTGGAGGGCTGTTGTTACTCTGAGATGGCATTGATGGAAAAGTCGGTGTCGTGAGCTGTCTGCCTGTACTTTGGTACACTTCTGATATGCTTGTGACACTAAAACTGTGTCTTTTCTGCTGTTGGAAATGCTTACGGTAATACAGGTGTGTTGTTTCTCGCAGTAATTTGTCACATGTACAACAGCATTAGCTGCTTCGGCTGCACTGCGGAAGCAGCTATTGTTTTCATTTTCAGGTTGGAAATGGTGAAGTATAGGACACGTTTGAAGGGATAGGAACAGAAACCCCTCAAAATACCTTTCTTTTTCTTCATTTCTAACAATAAACAAGATTACAGATGGTCTGTAGTGTTTTTTTGAGAAGACATTGGGATTAAGAGGGCGAAAAATGCGTATTATACACGTCAATGCACATGGTGGAGGGATATTGGTTTGGGGGATTTAGTAATAAGTCAAAACATGGCCGGCGTCAGAAGACCGGATGTTTCGACGTAAAGACCTTCTCCAAAGTACACAAGTTGGTGTTAATAGGTTTAAGAGAGACACGCTTCAAGTCATGAAATCTGATTGAACAAAATGAAATATCCCACAGAACAGTAACATCATGATTAAGAAAAATCCAATTTTAACAGCGGTGTTTTGGTGTTTGTCGTTTCAGTAGTCCTTCTGCACTTTGGCACTTTAGTAAGAGTAAATGCCCTCAAACTTGGCATATACTTAGACCACTATCCAAGGATGGTCCTAGAAGATATCCGTCATGATGACGTCACACTTGTCCTGCGATAAACACACACAGTCGAATTATTTCCGGGGTTGTATCTCTGGAACCGTTTGTCCCAGTGGGTTGATATTTTGCACAAAAACAAATCCAAATGTGTTATATGTAAATGTTTGGGTTACATCATGATGATGTCACCACCTGATTTTTTGGGAGGTTTTTTAAAGTTTTGTCATTGTGACATTCTTTTTGACATCTCTCCTTAACAAAACAAGTTTTTTATTTACCAGGGCCCAAGTGAGAAAACGCCCTGTGTGGCGCAGTTCGTGCTAGTTCCAGCACATTCAGTCCAAGAAAAAAGCAAGGACTAGTCCGATGACTGGGACTGTGGGAATCACCCTTTTTAAAAGATTTTTCTTGTCAGAATATTTTTGGTAAATTTTTAGAAGTTTATGAGAGAATACTTTCAGTGTGGTTTGAGAAATGAAAGGACTCTTTTTTTTGTAATGGGACTCGGTTGATCACAGAGGAAGGAAGATTCAGCGTGTATTATCTTTTTGGTGGGTTGAGATTTTAACTCAGAAACTGACTGGCTTTAATTTCAAGACTAGTATTGACTCTTGTCACGGAGGTAGAAACAGTTGTAAGTCCTGCTAATCCAGTATCGTGATATTGGACTGATTAGTTTTCTGAAACTGACCACCTCGAAGGATCTAAGAAAAGTATCTCATCAACACGCCGGAACAAAATGTCTGAGGCGACAACTATGAGCAACTCAAGTTACTAAGCTTCGTAACATGATGAGGTATCAACTGATCTGTCCTCTCTGTGAGAATGTTGTAGGCAGTAAACGGCCTAAACGTTACTTGTAATGATTGTTGCCTACGGCTCCATGCTGGACTGTGGTGTTGGGCTTTTTGTGTGTTCAACTTCCACAGGGAGTCCAAGTGACCCTCTTCTTATTTCTGACTCTACTTGTTATTCAGAATTTTGAATCTTACAGTTATTTTGTAGTGGTATTTTCCATCTAACTCATCTTCAATTTTCCGGTTTGACAGATGTGGACCCTTCCGTAGATTTAAAAAATAAAAAGTCACTTTTTTTGTCTTCTGAATTTTTTGGCAGTTCAGCTCAATATCAAAGACGCTGTGGCCAAATGAAGGTTGACACACTCTATTAAGTGAAGTTGATACTTTGAGATGGGTTCCGTACACTGTAAACATCGGCCAGAACCCTATGGACTTGCTGCTGGCTTGCTTAAGTGGCCTAGGGGGCACCTGGAGTGTACAGATTTTTTTTGGGGGGGGCACCAGGGAAGTGTAGAGTTTTTGGGGGTGGACCTGGGGTGTACAGATTTTTCGGGGGGGGGGTATACCTGGATGCACAGACTTTTTTTTGGGGGGGGGCAGGGTTAGGCACCAAAACAGTTGAACTGCGACTTGCACTTGTGCAAGGTTCTCATTCATTTTAGGATAGGGGACAGAGAATTGTCGGCACCCAATGGGATGTGGGTATCAGCTGCGGGATGTCACCCTCTCCATTCCCCGCTCATTTCCCTGCAGCCTGTTTTGTGTGTTTCTTTATATTTCAAGGAAATGGGAGATATATTAGATCAAAACTATTTCTTGAAGTTCACCGATACAAAGACCAAATTTCCAATTTTTCTGTGCTAGTTGTCATCACGATCCGACACCCATAAAATGTAGATACATAAAACAGTGCAAAGGATATGAATTTATTGGGAAGTGATGAAGAACTATGTAATTTTGGGGGCATTGCGAGCCATATTCTTTGTAAAGAAGGTAGAGCAACGCCCATGTCCCAACTGCATGGACATGTATATATTGAAGCAGAAACTTGCGTCTTGTGTCAAAACGTATTATTTTTTTGTAGTGTTGAATGCTAAACCCAATTTATTAAAAACAACGAAACTAAAACCAAAATTCCAATAGCTACAGGCGAGGTTTTGCTGCTGTTTAAAGACATCAGAATTCTGGCTTAAATTAGATTTCATCATTGCAATATTGTACAAAAGAACGACCAAATTATCTGAAATGTTTCTCTTGAATTTTTTTTCTACATTTTTGTTGTTACCTTTTCATTTGATACACGTATTATCATGTTTTTTGGTTGTTGGTTTTGTTAAATATAAAAGGAAGCAGAATCCAAATCATATGAGCTGACTGCAAGCGTAAACTATGAGAGAATTGTTTAATTTCAAAGACGCAAATTCCTTGATTGCATTAAACCTGACAAAAAGTGTGCTTTGTAGAAACCAATTCTTGGACTTACGCCTGTAAAGATTATCTTGTCATTTAGATTACGTGCGGTCCTAGTTTTCCCACTTAGTTTTGCGTGAACAAGTATTTTTATGCATGTCTTATGAAATGCATAAAAATCAATGTGCATTGTAATAAACTACGGTAGCTTAATTAACCACAACACTCTAAGTCAATAATTCCATTTGGTTGGCTGTCTATCTTTTAAGTTGTATTTCAATTTATTTCCCAGTGGAAGTAACTTGTAATAACGAAGTGTTATGATCATAGTTTTATTGGGACAATTTTTTGTACGTTCGATGGTCTTAAGAAATACTTGTACTTAATGCCGACCTCATTATTACCTCTTTTGCGAAAACTGATTTTTTTTCTTGTAATCTTAAGATTCTGCCGTAATTATTGTTATTCAGTTCTTCTTTGTACTGGATGACCCATTCAGTTTGTTTGAAAAGTGCTTGCATTTTAGTGTGTGCTATTGTTTTCAAGCAAAGTTTACATCAGCCCAACAATCCAATACTGCAAATTAAGTGGTACTAAGTATGGGAATTCGTTCCGTCTCTGAAGCTTGGAATCTCTTTTGTAGAGTGTCCTTGCCATTGAAGCCATGACCGTGGCCTAGTTACTTTGCAGCGGCTGGAAATGCGTCTACAAGAAATAGACGAAGCTGGCTTTGAGTCCCTTGCTTGCTGCATGTATTTTTTCAGCCGCTATCATGTTGGGACATTGCAGGGTGCACCCCTTCAAATAAATTCCTTAGACAGCAGTGATTAATCCGCATACACCTCTCACAGGTGTTCAGGCTGCACAGAAAAAATGATGTTCCACATGTCCCCTTTCATTTTTTCTTTCAATTTTCGGGGAGTTGACCAAAGAATTTTTGAGAAATTTTCATCAGAAGCAGACCAACCCTAAAATGAAGAAAATGTCCCTGTCCAGAAAAGTAGCCATTTTGAAAAACCATCCCTCTGCAAAATGGCTCAATAGTGCCACTTTCGGACCCGATTGCATCCAAATTGCTCACAATTGGAAGCCCCGAGTCCGGCCCAGAGGTTCAGTCTCATATTTCTTCAATTCCCCATTTCCATGGCTCTCAGGACCCTCTAATATAGAATATGTTGAGTGTAGAACTTTCATTCATGAGCTCGGTGGACATATTTCTGGCCTAAATACGAGGGTGCACCCTGCAGAAACTTGCTCCACAAATATAACAGTCCATTTGTGATGCGAGTTACCATCTCCCAATTCCCATGCCCTTCAATCCCGACTCCCTGACTGTTTCCAGGAAATTATCAACTTCATCAATACATTGTTAAATATGTTGATTAATTTTAAATTCCCCTAGAGATGGTTTAAATTATTACATTATCTTTTGGTTTTGAAATAATTTGTACTTCTTGTTCCAATCCTTTAGATTGACACCAAATAATCCGCATCTGTACATATACATGTATGTACCTAACTGATTTAAAGTAAAAACCTACTTTTACAAACACAAGTATTTATTTTCGACTGAAGGGAAATAAACGGTCATTTTCAAATGCACCTGTTTACATAGTCCTTTTGGTCTGTTGTCCTGTGCGAATTAGTGAGAGATGCCTTCGCAGTGTTGATCCACTGTGAAATATTAAAATTGCTGAAGCCCCAAATTCTTTGAGCTTTTGGCCCTTAATTCAACTTATTGCAGGTCTATATCTGTAGCTCTGATCTTTTCACCTACCATTCCACAGTTTTGAATATGGTACCCGAAAGATCAAGTAGGCCTAAACACGTGTAACACAGGCCCACTCCACTGACGTTAAAATCCATTCACGCAAACTCACTGCTACGAACGTTTACGTGCCCAAATATTTAGAGAAAAGAAAACAAACTCTGAGAAAATACTCATTTTTTAACACTGTAAATAGTTTTGAAAGCTGGATTTTTGTTTTTATTTTGTTTGGTTTCCTTTATATGGATAACCCAAACACCTAAATGCCTGGAAACCAATGCCAGACAGTCAACTCATAAGGTTTGCACAATCTGCATTCTGTGGACGTCTTGTTTACTGGTCGCAGTGATGCACATACCATAACAGCTGTTTCTGTTAATCCTAACGCCCTGGCTATGCCCCTTAGAGGACAGGTAGAGAAATGTCCGGCAAGTGATTTTTTCTTTTGTTTTTCAGATACAAAACTTCGTTCTCTTGAAATCTTAATTGTATTCCCTGAAAAATATTCCGTTCAAGGATCTTTGTACTTCATTATTTGGATATAAATACTTGCATGAGCTGAGGGGCGTAAATACTACGCGCGACACTACTTTGTCTAACTGGTTTTGTGTCCAGGGGCAAAATGGGGGTTATTGCGATGCACGGTCTCTAAACTTCGATTCCTCTATAAGAAATCTAGACAACAAAACAAGGCCTAGGCCCTATATGAAAAATGTCTCCCTTGCGGCGTGTTGAGATTTGTCGACTCCGTACCAAAATGTCATTGAATTCATTAGAGGCCTTGACTCGAATTGTAATCATTCAACACAGGACCAAATGCCAAGACGGATCATCAGAGAAAAAACCTTAAGTATTCAACAGGCATGCAACTCTTCGGCAGATCCACGGATTTCAGCGTTTTTTCACAAATTGGACCACAAAAATATTCCTTCTTTGTTTTGTCCGCGCTTTCGCCGCTTGCTTGTGCCTCAAATTGCGGAGCGGCGGACGCGCTGAGACCGCGCTGGCGCTCAGTGGAAACTCAGTCCGTGTCCGAAACGGGCTTCCAAAGCTACGGCTAGGTCTATTGTCTACGCATCTCCACGCATTTCCAATGGAGTGAAGACCTAGCTCTGGACATGAGATTCGGCGGCAGCCTCATACAATCGCGCTTCCACGTAGAAAAAAAAACAAGAAAAGGATAATTGTCGTCAGGTGCTTTACTAATGCATGAAAGGAAACTTTTAAATGACCAGGACTCCCAACTTCGTTACGTTCGTAATGATCATAGCGCCCTCTATTCTGTTCTGGCGGATAGCCTTCGTATATTTTTCTCTATTGACTTGCACGTCGTGACGTCAGAATACAGACTGCGCGTGCTGCCACTCCATGCGATGGTGATGTACGTGTCGGAAAAAGTGACATCTGAGATCGTTTAACAACGTGGGAAAAAGGACCTCGAAAGGGAAGGACATGGTCATCTCTAGAATTCTTCTTGAAGAAAGACTTTCTTCATGAGCCAGTCAACAAGATTTTTGTGGCTAATATGCGGAAGGCCGAAGAAGAATCAGTCAAGGTTCTCGCTGAACAAAACGCCTCTGCCGAGCATCCACTTCAACATCCAAAACCCACCTCAGGTTGTTGCCAGAATAACTCACGTGGAGAAAATAAAATCAACAAGAAGAACCAATTACAAATTTTTTAGATATCCAGATATGTATGTTGTAGGCCTGTACTTCAAATACAAAAGGTAAACAAGAGATCTTGAAAAGTGTACATAGCTTTGAAATAAACAATATACATCACATCTAAAATTCAATTCAAGTGATGAGAATTGCCCAGAATGCACCAGAGAGCATCTACAATTCAACATTTTCCAGGGCCCCAAGGCGTCCCCGGACCCCATGCCGTATTGGCATCGTGCTGCGCGCTCGCGTAGGTTTTCCTCTTTTTTGAAAACAAAAGTTGCATGCCCTATTACTTGGGTGAGTGATAAAGAGTTTACAATTAAACCCAGTCAATCCCCCCCACCAGTGGTGTATCCATATTTTCGGTCCAGGAGGCAACATATTTCTTTCTTTTTTTTATTAAACTGACGCTCCGAGTTTTTTTTTTATTATTTCCTCGCAGTACCCCGAGGGCTTAGCACCATTTCGAAAGTGTTAAGGACTTCAATTTCCTAAAAAAGGGGCATGTTGTGGGGGGGGGACTTTCCCCCTCCCAAACCGCTGGATAC